TTTTATGACCTGAACTCTTTGAAAGAAGCTAGATACTCTTACCTCCACCTCACCAGTCTTCAGTTTAAACTCCCAATTTACTTTGTTTCTTCTATCTCCCCAGCCTAGAGATCATTCTCTTTTGTAGAGAAAAAGGAAGCAAAATCAAAGTTGAATAGTTCTCTTTGTCAGGTGCAGGGCATGCTGGGAAGCCAAAAGCAGAGGCAGCTTCCCTGGAGGCTTCAAGGGGATACAGGTGCCCACAATTTCATAACTATGAAGCTACTGAAGAGCTTCAAGGCACAGCCTCACTGCTGGTGCTGATCAGATTGAGTTGTAAGAGAGCAGAGAGAGAAAAGTGATTGTAATAATGCAGAGGGAGGAACAGTGTTTGAGTAGAGAGAGCTTTGATTGTGCTTTTCAGGAAGTTGGGAGAATGAGTGTTCGGTGAAAGTAAGGAAGAGAGTGAGTCCATGGCACAAAGTGATTCTAGTGATTGTTCAAGAGAAAATAAATGAGTCCTGGACTGAAAGAGAGACATAGAGATGGGGAAATTATGCTGGTTCCAGTGTCCCCACCACATGGTGTCATAGAGTTCTGGACTTGGGAGTCTGGAAGACCTGAGTTCAAATCCTGCCTCAGATATCTACTAACTGTGTGTTTCTAGGCAAATCACTTAACGTCTTTGGGCCTCAGTTTTCTCATATGTAAATTGGGAATAATAACAATATCTACCTTACATAGTACTTGTGAGAATCAAATTAGATAATATGTAAAGCACTTTGCAAACATTAAAGTACTAGCTGTTATTATTATATTATTATTATTAATTATTACATAGTAGCATGTCATCAGATAGAGTAGTGACCGAAAGATGTAAGATCAGATATTGTACCAAATAGTATATCTGAATCATGGTTTCTTAGCTCCTTCTAGTTCTTTTTGGCAAGAGATTGACTAAGGAAGCACAGAGTACATACAGGGAGAAGAAACGAGGGCAGTGGGTATACATGATGTTCTATAAAAACAGTATCAGGCTTACATAAACTGATGCAAAGTAACATAAGTAGATCTGGGAAGATGGCATGACCACAACAATGTAAAAAGAAAAACAACAGCCACCAAACAATAAAAAATGAACGTCACAAAATCATAAAGAACAAGCTTGACTATCTTTTAAAAGAAACTACATTGGGGGCATGAGAACAATCAAAGAAGGTTTAGAACCACTGTTTGAGGTGGATGAGATACTACTGACTGATAACAGAGAGAGAAGGCAGAACTACTTGACTGCTTGTGGGGTTTTTTTTCTTCCATGGAGAACAAAATTTAAACTTGAAAGGAAAGAACCAAAAATGACTAATATGGAGTTGTTGCACAAAGTAAGAAAGGGGATACTAAGAGATCACCCAGCTGCCCTTGATGGGTTTAAGTCAAGTGACACAAATGAATTTCATCTTCAAGTACTAAAGAATTGGTGGATTCATTGATGAGTTACTGTTAATGATTTCTGAAATACTAGAGAATAGGAGAGGTCATCTAGGATTGGAGAAAGGCAAATGCCACAATGATCAAAAAGGGGAATTGAATAAAGTATGAAAACTAATTATAAACTGCTACTGTTTAGTCCCAGGCATTCAATCAATTCCAATTCCACCTGATTGAACTATGGTCTGGCCTACACATCTCCATCACAAAGATAGAATGAGAATCTGTATCAAATACTTTAATAAATTCTAGGTAAATTACAGTTACACTGTTCCCTTGTTCTACCAATTTAATAACCCAATCAAAATGGAAATAAAGTTTTTTCTGGTATGACATGTTCTAGATTATCATACTGGCTCTTTGTCATCACACTTCCCATTTTAGATGTTCACTAAACATCCCTTTAATAATATATTTAATAAAGGCATCTAGGAGGCACAGTGGATAGAGCATCGGCCCTGGAGTCAGGAAGACCTGAGTTCAAATCCATTCTCAGACACATAACCCTCACTAGCTGTGTGACACTGGGCAAAATACATACATACACACATACATATATTCTGCCAAAACTCAAAGTCAACCTCAGTATCCTATAAATCATAGATCGGGCTTTGAATGGTAAGTAGAAATTTAGCAGATGGTAATGGGGGCCAGGGAGGGCAATTCTGGACAAAGAGAATGGTATGAGTAAAGGAAAGGAGGCAAGAAAGTATAAAGATATATTCAGGAGATGATGAGCAATCAATTTTGGCTCGAGAGAACATGGCACAGAAAAGGAAGTTGTATAAGAAGAGGCTGGAAAATTAGATTGGTACCAGATTATGGAGACTCTTGAAAGTCAGGCTTAAAGTAAATGTTGATATTAAGATACAGTTGGCTTGTGCTTTCCTCTCTTGAACTGCTGTGTATTGTCAGGCAAGGGATAGAAGGTACACATCTACTGTGAGAGAGAGAGAGAGAGAAACAGAGAGACACAGAGACAAAGAGAGCCCTCAGGAGCATTTTTTTTTTCCTTTTAAGGCAGTATCAGAAAGCTCAGCCTTCCAAAAAATTCTCTTACCTGCCATTTGCAAGGCATATGATATGAGCTGATTTTCTTCTAACAGTGATGGATTTGTGCCTAGTCATTCATATTGCCTCACCTTTAAACCAACAGTATGTACTTGCAAGGCTTAGTCAGGGTAACAATAAGGTCGGTGATTTTGAACCAGAATTTCCTTCTGTATAAAGCCATCTGGTCTGAAATCCCAAACCTTGGCCTCACTAGTTCTACACACGGGTCTAACGGGAAGAATTAAGTTCAGCTCTTTGCAAATGAAAACTTGTTACAAGTTGCATTTTTTCTCTAGAGTCAATGGGAAGAGAGGGGCAGCAAAAGAAATGATTATTTGCTGAGCCATTGCCAAGGTCCTCTCTGGCAAATGTTCCAAAGGAAAAGCATGATAAGCAATTATCCTTCTGTCAACTACAATTTCATAAGTTTACTGTTTGCCTATTTTGAAAGAAGTTGTGCTTTGATTACAGACAGGTCATTAACGGCCAAAAACAAATGCCCTGGTATGGACCTCACAATTGTATTTGAATTTCACATACCTTTCATTTTGGACTAAAAAGCCAGACTCACAACAAAAAGTTAGGGTTAATTTAGTGACTGGTATATCAATTTTAGTGGCCTTTTATTTAAGCTCTTAATTTTTTCATTCATTTTTAAATTTTCAATTATGGTAATTTTACCCTTGATTTTTATCGATTTTTTCTTTTATGCTTATTTTGGATGAATCACTTTATTGATTTTCTAATTTTAACTACAAACTCATCAATCTTCCTTTTTGTTAACACAAGCATTAAGAGATAAAATTGCCTGTGAGAGCAGCTTCAGCTAAATTCCATAAATTTTGATATGTTGTATTACTAGTATCTTTATTTCTGATATAACTTAAATTTTTTTCTATAATTTGCATCAGTGGGAAGAGTGGAACATAGGGAACATACAATGGAGAGATGCTGTATGGCTAATGTATATGCATGTTAGTTTATACATATAGAGACACATGTGGGCAAGGGACATGTTGATTGTACATATAGAGAGAAATCTGACCAGGGCTTAGGTTGAGACACACCTCACACTTCCAGTGATGCTGTATTGTGGATGACGTCTAGTGACTACATCACGCCACTCCTACCAGGCCTGTTCCCCTTTGATCCCACAGCTTCTGCCAGATTTTGGTCTGCTGGACACTCTACTACCTATTGCTTCTGACTCAGGTGAAATCCTTGGCTATGTCTTCTTCAAGGAAGAGCCTGCGCTACTATGATATTTTCCTGCTCTTTTAGGAAAGGGAGAAACATGGTCTAGGATGAGCAAAAATCCCCTACTCAGATTCCTCGTTTCCTCAGAGTCTTGGCTCACAAAGCTTATTTCTCCAGCAAAAGATTCTCAGTCCCAGTCTGCCAAGCTCTTCAGAATGATCCAAATAATCTATAGTATATACTTTTATGACAACTTCCTTCTGTTTGTGCCTGCATTGATATTCATCCAAATGTTCTCCACTGTGCTCCCTTTACCCCATCTGGTTCCTAGATTTTTCTCACAAGAGTATATCTTCTTACTATTCAATTCTATTATAAGGTATATTCTTCTAGAGACATATTCTAGTCATGAGACTCATCCCAACAAATCTTAATGATACCTACGTTGTCATATTTTCCTCCTTGAATTGAGCTATCTGGTTCATCTTGGTTGTTAGCTATTTGTATAAATGAGGCCATAGATTTTATTACTTTCTCTTTACTTGGATTTTGTCCTCGGTGAACTTGTAGGACATTCATCTGAAATCAGCTTTACTGCAATTCCTGGTTTTTTGGAGTTAATTGATACATAAAAAATTTTTTTCCACCCTCTCATTTTAAACCTACAACTGCATTTCTGTATATTTTATGTATGTTCCTATAGTCAATATATTGTTAGGTCTTAGCATTTTATCCATTCTAGAAACCTCCTTTGTTTTTAAAGATTTAACATGACTAGTTTTAGCTTTTTCCTACTAGGTCATTTACACACGCAGTGAAAGGGTTGTTGCATGGATTATAATCCAGCTAAGGTGTTTGGAGTAACTCAGAGGGCAATATCATGGCCACCAGATAGAATGCTGCTCAATCTGTGTCCTCCCTGTGGATCACACATATGAATGTGCCAATGTTTTAGCAAGCTGCAAAAACCCTTCTGGACACTAGAAATGACTGAAAGCCTTAGAAGAAAAAGAACCTTGAGCTTTTTTCCCTAGATATAGAGGCTACTTTTGACTTTTGTATCTGGCATCAACACAGTATTTACCCTACCTTACACATTCTAGTGTAGGAGATGATACATAAATATTTTAAAATCTTAATTGTCCTAATTATCTTGACTCTGCCCCCAATAATTCTCTCCGTAACACTTGAATGATACACATGACATATGGATCACTGAAGTTTTAATATAAGTGAAATTAAAGGTAAAATAGCTAATTCTCTTATACCACAAAATGGACACAGATATCTAGGCTTTCTTTAACTTTCTTTTTTGCTCCTTACTTCTATACAGCAGAATTCCCCCACAAAACCCCAAGGGATTTAGAGAATGGTGAAGGACAAGGACTTCTGCAGCATCTTTCAGGGACAAAGAAGGAGAAATCAAAGGATCTTGCCAACTGACTACTTCAATCACTAGCAGGACTCAGAGTCACTCACAGTCCTCAGCATATTCAAAGTAATAGCTAAGCATAATGTAGTGTCTTTTCTTCATCCAGTCTGGGTCACCCCCATTGTTGTAGCTCAGCATCTCCTTCATCCTGGTGAATACATCACTGCTATTGTTCTTTTCATTCCCTCCTGTGTCAAAGACAGATTTAGAACTCCTCCAGAACAATCTCACTTAATGTAGAAAGGTCCTAGAATCTGCCCAGGAAAGATACAAAACTAAGATAAAGAGACATTTTCTGCATGTTACAGATAAATTCAATGTAGTACCATCTAAAGCAATAATTTTTTTTAAAAAAAATTTAATCATGTACCATTAAAACCTTTCTCATGTCAGCAAAACATAAGATACACCATACTTTCTTTAAGTCAATCCAATCCCACTCTATCCTTACTTCTACCCACAACCCTAGAAAAAATGTGAATCCTGCTCTTTACAGAAACACCCATTCACTTACATACAAATACACTAATACACATTCTTGGGGAAAAAAAACACACAGAACTAACCCCAGTTTCTAGATTAGTTCAATTGACCACTTTAAGAGTTTTTTAAAGTATTTATACTTTCCTCCTCCTTCTTCCCTTTTAACACAGATACTGCCTTATATAGCACTAGCCCTAATTTCTAAATTCATTCAATTACCTCTGGAAGCTTTTCCCCCTCTTTTTAAATGTTAACTATTCTCTTTCCTTATGAATATTCCTAGATGGGAGTTATTTTATATGAGCTATTCTCCCCTTCCCCTCCATACCTGCTTTGTCAATTATTATGATGTACACAATCAATCAAATAACTTCTCCACCCCATCCTATTCTAATTTTCTTTTAAAATTTTTATTAAATATATTTATATAAATACTTAATTTTATTAAGTATACAATTAAGTCAGATAACTAATTTGATTAAGCATATAACAATTTTATTAAGCATATATTAACTTATATATAATTAATGTATATTAATTGTATGTTATTAATTTTTATATTGGTAATAATATACTTGATAAAATATATATGCAACACCTCATGTTGCATCTTTCTGAAGCTATGAATAAAAACACATGCCCCTTTTCATTGGTCCTTTTGATTTTCCGACATACTTCACATATCCCATCCCCTCAGCCAGCACACTGCCTTTAAAATTACCTTGAAGTTCTGATAAGCTACAAGAAGGGACTAGAAACTTGGGGGTGGGGTGAAGGACAGTAGGAGCCACAAGCTGACACCCTTTAGTAGCATTCCTTCTATTGTGACAAAATCCTTGTCCACCGAGAGAAGCAAGGAAGGATAATCTCCCAACAACTTGAGGACCCCATTGGAATACTACCTGGGCAAAGCTATGAAGCAGGTGAAAAGATGAATTGATGAATATGGCAAATAATCCCTGAGGTACACAGCCCAGGACTTCTGACTCCAACAGAATAATATTTTCTTGAAGCCTAGAAGTGGTTTTGAGACTATGAAAAAGTTCACCTTTTTTAAAAATAATATTTTATTATTTTCCCCAATTACATGTAAAAAAATTTTAAGTTTTTTTAAGTTTTGAGTTCCAAATTCTATCCTTCCCTCTCTCTTAATTCCCCTCCCTGAGACAGTAAGCAATCTGATATAGGTTATCCATGTGCAATCATGTAAAAAACATATTTCCACATCAGTCATTTTGTAGAAAGAAACTCAAAAGAAAAAAAAAGGAAAGAAGGAAAGAAAGTGAAAAATAGTATGCTTCGATCTGTATTCAGATGCCATCAGTTCTTTCTCTGGAGGCAGACAGCATTTTTTATCATAAGTCCTATGGCATTTTCTTGGGTCATTGTATTGCTGAGAATATATAAGTCATTCATGGATGTTCATCATACAATATTGTTGTTGTACAATGTTCTCCTGGTTCTGCTCACTTCACTGTGCATCAATTCATGTAAGTTTTTCCAGGTTTTTCAGAAATCATCCTGCTCATCATTTCTTATGCCACAATAATATTTCATTACAATCATATACCACAACCTGTTCAGTTATTGCCCGATTGATGGACATCCCCTCAATTTCCAATTCCTGGCCACCACAAAAAGAGCTGCTATAAATATGTTTGTACAAATAGGGCCTTTCCACCTTTTTTTGATCTCTTTAGGATATAAACTTAGTAGTGGTATGACTGGATCAAAGGGTATGCACAGTTTTATAACTTTCTGGGCATAGTTCCAAATTGTTCTCCAGAATCATTGGGTCAGTTCACAACTCTGCCAACAGCGCACTAGTGTCCATCCCAGTTTTCCCACATCCTCTTCCAACATTTATTATTCCTTTTCTGTCATATTAACAAATCCGATAGGTGTAAGGTAGTACCTCAGAATTGTTTTAATTTGCATTTCTCTAACCAACAGTGATTTAGGGCATTTTTTAATAGGACTATAAATAGCTTTGGTTTCTTTGTCTGAAAACTGCCTATTCACATCTTTTTTGTCCTTCGTTTTTGAAGAGGACCAATAATGATGAAAAATAGCAACATGAAAATGGGCAGAGCTATCTATTCATTTATAGCCCAAAGCGCTATGAAATTGTGCATACCCTTGACTCAGCAATACCACTCCTAGGTATGTATCCCAAAGAGATCATAAAAACGGACAAGGATCCACACATACAATAATATTTATAGCAGCTCTTTTTGTGGCGGCAAAGAATTGAAAATTGAGGGGATGCCCATCAATTGGGGTATGGCTGAACAAGTTGTGGTACTGAATGTAATGGAATGCTATTGTGCTATAAGAAATGATGAGCAGGTAGACTTTAGAAAAACCTGGAAAGACTTGCATGGACTGATGCTGAGTGAAGTGAGCAGAACCAGGAGAACATTGTATACAGTAACAGTCATGTTGTGTGATGACAAAAGTTGATAGACTTAGCCCTTCTCAACAGTTCAAGGATCTAAGAATTTCCAAAGTTCTCATGATGGAAAAGAAAGAACTATGGAGTTTGAATGTAGCTCAAGCATACTCTTTGCTTTTTTTTTTCTTCTTTTTTGTTTTGTTTCCTCTTTCTGGTAGTTCCTCCTATTGGTTCTAATTCCTCCCTACAACATGACTAATGCGAAAATATGTTTAGTAGGAATGTATATGTATAGTCTATATCAGATTGCCCACCATCCTGGGGAGGTGGAGAAAAATATAGAACCTCTAAAACTTATGGAAGTGATTGTTGATAAATCAAAATAAATTAATAATTTTTTTTTTAAAAAAACAGTCTAAGACAACTCGAAAAGACTCACAACGGAAATTGCTGTCCCCATCCAGAGATAGTACTATGGAGACTGAATGCAGATAGAAGTACACTATTTGCTCTCCTTTTCCTTTGTTTTGTTTGTTTTTTTTACTGCTTCATTCTAGTGGTTACTCCCATTAGTTCTAATTCTTCTTTACATCATGACTAATGGAAAAATATGCTTAATATGAATATATAAGTAGAGCCTATATCAGACTGCATGCCATCTTGGGGGGGGTAGTAAGAGGGAGAGAAGATTTAAAACTCAAAACCTAATGGAAGTGAATGTTGAAAACTAAAAATAAATTAATTATCAAAAGAAGAAAGAAATCCTAGCTGAAAGCAAAAAAAAAAAAAGAGTTCCATCTGATGAACAAAAACTGTTAACTGAATTTTCACCTGGACTCTGTAACTGAGTTTTATCTTATAGAATTTTGTCTGTGATAAAAAAAAAATCTAAATTGCAAGTGGAAATGCCTTGTGTCAGATTTACAGAGGAAACTGCTCCTTTTAATTTTTCACTCTCTTAGAATTCTATTTATTTGATTAATAAATTCATCTCTGGCAGACTTCTGCCCAAAATGCAAAGGACTGAATTTTTCCTTCCAAGTTCCTTGGATGACCAGAGAGCTACAACAACAGTCCCAGTCTTAATCCCTTGTATTAAGTCTTCAAGATCATTTCATTGCCTTTTAAGAGAAAACTAGCCAAACCTAAATGGCTGGAATCTGAGTACATATTGATCATACCACAGATGTGGAGTTTTGCTAAGTAACAGCTTTGGAGCCAAGTACATCCCTGGCACAACCATCTCTGGAACAATCCATGGCAGCACTCTCTCCCTCTTGAGTGTCATTGAGGAAAATGTGTTCTTCTTCTTCACTGGCACATGACTCTATGGGAGATTGTTGTCAGATACATGGATCTAAAGATTTCTGCTGCGCACCTATTTATTTTGCTAATATGTTTCAATTAAACCTTTTGCTATTTGATTTGTGGTCGCCATGTGGTCTGTGACTGGAGTCAGCACTGGATAGGAGCTAGAGTCATGTATTTCTTTTTAAATTTTTTATTTTATTTTGCTTTTCAACTAATATGCATTTATTTCTCTCCCTCCTACCCACCCCACCCCTACCTACATTAGAAAAAAATAAAAACAAAACCTTTTCAACTAATATGTATAGTCAAGCAAAACAATGTAAGTCTTACTCTACAACTTGATTCCATCACCTCTTTGTCACTGGGTACATAGTCTGCTTCATAATTACGCCTCTGAAATTATGGTTAATCATTTTACTGATCAGAGTTCTTAAGTCTTTCAAAATTGTTTGTTTTATAATGGCATTATTATAGAAATTGTTCTGGTTCAGCTCACTTCACTCTGCATCAGTTTATACAAGTCTTCTCAGGTTTCTCTGAAACCATCCCTTCTGCCATTTCTTATCGCACAATATTATCTCAATTACAGTCACACAACTTAATTTGTTCAGCCATTCCATTTGTTCAGCACAATATTATCCCAATTACAATCATATAACTTAATTTGTTCAGCCATTCAGGCAAATTTTATCCAAAAGTTCCTGGGGAAAAATGAATGTATTCTTATTTTATTATGATCCAGTGATTTTTAAATTATCTCTCTATCTTCTAATTCTGCTTTTTTTCTGGTTGTTTTGTCCTTTGATCCTATTTAGCTGTAATTTGGCTTCTGTTGCTTTTTCTCTAATCATGAGAATTCTATTTTCTATGGATTACATTTCTATATTTAAATTTTCTACCACTTCAAAGTTGTTGATTTTTATTTTCAATGTTCCTTGCTCCATATGGGTGTCTCCTCAGTTTTCAGTTCTTTGCCAATGCAAAAAGAGCTGCTATAAATATTTTTTGTACATATGGGTCCTTTTTCTCTTTATTTGATCTCTTTGGGGTATAGGCCTAGTAATATTTCTGGGTCAATGAATGTACATAGTTTAGGGACTTTGGGAGCAAAATTGCAAATTGCTTTCTAGAATGGATGGACCAGTGCACAGTTAGATTAACAGTGCATTTTAATATACTGTTTTCCTGCAGTCCCTCCAACACTTGTGATTTTCCTTTTTCATAATCTTTGCTAATCTGAAGGGTGTATATTGGAATTTCAGAATCATTTTAATGTGCATTTCTCTAATTATTAATGATTTGCAGCATTTTTTTCATATCATTCTATTGATAACTCGGATTTCTTCCTTTGAAAGCTACTGTTCATGTAATTTGATCATTTATCAATAGGGGAAGAGTATAGTCATATATTTACCCCACTTTGAATCCAAGCAACATGGGGAATACCAAAGCTCAGAGATATATGTTTATTAAATTACTGATTTATTTCCCAATCCTCCACATTTTTATGTATGTGACCTTTAGTTGTCAGTCAAACTTACCTTGTTGTTGGGAATTTATTGAGTTAAAGCTTCTGATATCCTGACATTTTCCTATGATGTAATCAGTAAAAACAGGAAACAATATATGATCAGTATTTAGTACATCACAAGTCTATCATTATATAGATTAGATAAATATTCCACCTTCACTTACCAAACGTTAAAAAGACACTATTGCATTGTGTAAAAAAGCTATTTATAATAATATATAATAAATTACAATTATTTCCTTAATTCCTATCACTTGAGTCCACTGCAGATCATAATAGCACCTCTGAATTTTTGTTCAATTTGAGTAACCTTCAAGACACATTCCTAACCTATTTCTTTGCCTCTACTCTGTAGATAATTTCAGATCATGTCACCCCTTCTGTTTTATTAACCATGTATGATTTTGACATGGATTCCCCTTCTATTGATTGAATGATTTTATCATCATTAATTTTACTTGAGGTTCACCACTGATTTGTTTACAAAATGTTCCTGACTACTGTATCTTATCAAGTAATTATCTAAAGCCTTATCCATTGGTCCCAGTTTAGCTTCATAGAAGATTCTGGGGCAAAAGCTGATTTCCTCTGAATCTCTGTGAATCATGCTCCAGCTTATTCTCTATTTTCTTGTGAACATGAAAAATCCTATGCAGTTTGAGTGGAAGTACTTTGATAAAATAAGTTTTTCTTCTTAGCTGTTTGTAAGATCCTCTGGTTTTGGCAAATTTTATCATAAAGTTCCTGGAAAAAGTAGGTATATTTTTTTTATCATAATCAAGTGATTTTTAAATTCTGTGTCTTCTAATTCTGCTTTTTTTTTCTGGTTGTTTTGTCCTTTGTTCTTATTTGGCTGTAATTTCTACTGCTTCTGCTACTTTTTCTTCAATCATGAGAAATCTATTTTCTATGGATTCCATTTCTGTATTCAAACTTTCTACCACTTCAAAGTTGTCGATTTTTAGTTTCAATTTGCCTTGCTCCATATTTACTAATAATAAATTCAGAGTCAAAACTAGAATAGGATAACTAGGGCTCTTCCCCAAGGCATCAATATCTGGAAGCAAAAGGTCTTTCCTCCCTGGGGTGTGGAGCATGTCGCCTCCCTACAATCACCACCACCTCTGCACCTGGCCTCTTGGCAAATCCTTTGTCACTGTCACCATATGACATGAGCATGACCAGGCTACCATCTGCAAGGTGTCAATGGCTCAGTGCCCTTCCCCCAAAGCCTGCCTTTCCACCAAACTTTACAGGGACATAGGCTGGACCTTCTTCTCCCAGAATGATTGCGACTATGGTCCCACTGACCCTTGCACCGCTGCCAACAGCCCCACCCCTGAATTTGCCTAAAACTCAATTAATTCCTTTTTCTGACCCTAGATGGCTTTCTCATTAGAAAGGACTGCTTTTTGGTTACCTACTTCAGATCCTTCATTTCCTTTTCATTATGTAGTTTGATGTTTCTTGAGTTAGGACCCCTTTAAATATGCTGAGCTGTGCTTGAAGTTAATTTTTAATTTTTTTCCTTTGGTCAACTTTCTCCAAGATTTTTAAGTCCATAGTGTTTGCTGAAGTTTTATTAGCCACTTTCTCATTTCCTTGTCCTTTCTTTTTTCTTATCTATGAGTCCAGGTTTTTTTAAGCCTCTTTGAATTCTTCTCTTTATTTCTCTCCTCTTTGAAAATATTTAGTTAGTTAGTTAGTTAGTAAGTTAGCTGTAATTGAAAATCTATTCAAAAGTAGGGAGGAGTAGAATTTAAGGGCCTCTCTTCCACCTCTCTGGCTACCTACCATCTCCTAAAATTCTCATCTGACTGTTTTTAAACTCAGCCTTAACTCTTTGTTTTTGTCTGAAGCAAGAAGCTGAAAGTGAAAGCAGTTAAAAGTCTGTTGGCAGATTTGTGGAGGATGTGTTTTCTTTAGAAAAGAACCATTCTAAGTGAAATAATATTTAAAGGATTTGATAATTTACAAATCTTTGAAAACTACAGAAGTTTTTTTCTCCAGCTTTTGTACTTGTTAGTTGTTTTAATATCACAGAGCAACTAGGTGACACAGTGGATAGAATGTTGATTTTGGAGTCAATAAGACCCAAGAGCAAATCCTGCCTCAAACATTTACTAACTATGTGATCCTGGGCAAGTCACTTAACCTCTCTCAGACTCAGTTTCCTCCTGTATAAAATTGAGATAATAATAGTACCTGTCTCACAGGATTATTGTGAGAATGAGATAACATATGTAAAAAAATTTGCAAACCATAAAGTGATACATAAATGTGAGCTTTTAATATTTATGCAAATCTTAGGATTGTGGCTTTTTAAAGTGGCAAATACTCCAGCTTCTGAGATACCATTAATATTAGGCATAAAATCTGAACAAGGATGATGAATTTAAAACTAACCTCCTCAGTTTATAGATGAGGTTAAGAGACTTGCCTAAGGTCACACACCTAGTAGCAGAGTGGGGATTTGAATCAAGGTCCTCTGGGACAGACCCAACACTCTCTTCTACACCATGCTATTTGGATAAGGAACCCTGAAGGACATATCTCTCACCTTCTGCTGCCATCATTAACCAAAAGACCTTGAAGAAACTCCCTCTCTCACGAAAGTGCTGTGCCCCTTTTGGCCTACAAGCTATTTCCCTTCAGAAGCAAGGATATGCTCCCTATGCAGTCCTTTCTTTGACTCTGTGGTAGCTTATCCCTAATTTGTGACCAGAAGTGTAGGGGTAGGGGGAGAGATAGAAGAGGAAAAATGCATTTCTGGTTATATATTTTATAATGGATAGATGTGACATTTTCAGGCCCTTGTCACCTTCTATCATTCTAATGGAGAGTTATCTAAAGATGGTGGCAATGACTTTTCAAGCTATAATATTTTCTTTGGGGATTTCTTTTAAAGAGACTTCAAGTATGGCACAGTAAAGCAGGGACTTGTCTAAGCTCTCCCAAATTCCCCTCCAAACAGCTTTAAAATAACACCTCAAAATGAATTCTGTACTGACAGAACCAGCCAAAGGACAGGGTGAAACAATTTTCTAGACCAAGACAACTTAGAAGGTCAAGAGGAAAGGTCTCTCACTGCGGTAAGAGTGGAGCACACTCCAGTGCAGACAGTGCCCCCAGCAAGTCAACAGCAGGCATGAATTAGAGTGTCAGCTTCCAGACCTCTCAGCCCACAGATAATATGAAGGTTGAACAGAAGACTACAGGGGTCCTTTGCTGGCACTGGATGCAGGACTCTGTTGCATTTCCCATATAGAGATCCAGGTCTTGACCCCAGGGAGACAAGGAATACTAGCATACTAGAATGCGTGGCTACAGGGAAGCAGGGACCCTGGTATCATTCCATGGTGAAAAAGAGTGCTTGTTGCTCAAAGACCAGGGCACAGGCCAGGAGAACAGTAACCACACCTCCAGAACTAGCTCTGAAAAGTCTGAAGCATGAAAAATCTGAAGTTTGGCACAGTGCCCCCTATACTCCTGGAGCAGAGCCCAACTTTGACATATAATTAAAAGTCAAGAAATAGGCTGGAAAATGAGCAAAAAAAAAGGAGCCTGATGATAGAAAGTTACTATGATGACAGGGAAAGTAAAAACACAAACTCAGAAGAAGACAACAAAGTCAAAACAGCTATAAGCAAAACTTCAGAGAAAAATGTGAGTTAGTTTCAGCAGCCCCTCCCCCCCCAAAAAAAGAATTCATGGAACAACTCCAAAAAGAGTTTAAAAATCAAATAAGAGAGGTTAAAAATTTTTGGAAAAGAAATGACAGTGATGCAAGAAAATCACGGGAAAAAAGTCAACAGCTTCATAAAGGATGCCCAAAAAAATACTGAAGAAAATAATATTTAAAAAAAAAAAAACAGAATAGACCAAATGGTAAAAGAGGCACAAAGATCCACCGAAAAAAGAACTCCTTAAAAAACAGAATTGGCCAAATGGAAAAGCATATATAAAAACTCATTGAAGAAAAGAAATTGTTAAAAAGTAAAATTGGGCAAATGGAAAAAATTATAAAAATTCACTGAAAAGAAGAACTCCTTGAAAAATAGAATTGGCCAAATGGAAAAGGAGGTTCAAAAGCTCACTGAAGAAAATAACTCCTTAAAAATTAGAATTGGGCAAGTGGAAACTAATGACTCCATGAAACATCAAGAAACAATAAAACAAAATCAAAAGAATGAAAAAATAAGGGGCAGCTAGGTGGCACAGTGGATAGATCACCGGCCCTAAAGCCAGGAAGACCTGAGTTCAAATCCAGCCTCAGACCAAACACTTGAGCTGTGTGACCTTGGGCAAGTCACTTAACCCCAAATGCCTTTAAAAAAAAAAAATAGAAGAAAATGTGAGATATCTCATTGGAAAAACAACTGACCTGGAAAATAGATTGAAGAGAGATGATTTAAGAATTATTGGACTACCTGAAAAAGCGATGATCAAAATAAGAGCCTAGACATCATATTTCAAGAAATTACCAAGGAAAACTGATCTCATATCCTAGAATCAGAGGGTAAAATAGAAATTAAAAATTTTTAAATTTAAAAAATCCACCAATAACCTCCCAAAATTAAAACTCCCAGGAATATTATAGCCAAATTTCAGAGCTCACAGATCAAAGAGAAGATATTGCAAGTAGCCAGAAAGAAACAATTCAAATTTATAAAGCCACAGTCAGAATAACATAAGATTTAGCAGTTTCTACATTAAAGGAGCAGAGGGCATGGTATATGATATTCCAGAGGACAAGAAGCTAGGATTACTCCCAAGAATCACCTACCTAACAAAAGTGAGTATAATCCTTCAGGAGGAAAAAATGTATATTTAATGAAATAGAAGATCTTCAAGCATTCCTGATGAAAAGAGCACAGCTGAATAGAAAATTTGACTTTCAAATATAAGACTCAAGAGAAGCATAAAAAGGTAAACAGGAAAGAGAAATCATAAAGGATTCAATAATGTTAAACTGTTTACATTCCTTATATACATACATTACATTTACATTCCCATTACATGGGAATATGATACTTGTAACACCTAAGAATGTTATCACTATTAGGGCAGTTAGAAGGAGTATACATAGACAAAGGGCACAGGTGTGAATTGACTATGATGGGATAATATCTAAAAAAATAAAATTAAGGAGTGAGAAAAGGGGATACTGAGAGAAGGAGGAAGGGAGAAGGGAGAAGGAGAATGGGGTAAATTATCTCACATAAAAGAGGCATGACATGGGACGTGTAGGTGGCCCTGTGGATAGAACGCCAACCTTGGAGTCAAGAGGACCTGAGTTCAAATCCAACCTCAGACACTTGACACTTAACTAGCTGTGTGATCTTGGGCAAGTCACTTAACCCCAATTGCCTCGAGCCAAAAAAAAAAAAAACCGGCATGACAGAGTTTATACAGCAGAAGGGAAGATGGGGAAATAGAAGACAATGCTTGCCTTTTCAATTAGGGGGGAGGAAAGAGAGGGAAGGAGAGAATTTGGTACTCAAAAAATTTTAAAACAAATGTTTAAAATTGTTTTTACATGTAAGTGGAAAAATAAAATATTTTTAAAATAAAGAGGCTTCAAGCATTTATAAAAAACTGCTTAATATAATTTCATCTATTTTGTTAAATTCACTATATTTTAGTTCTTTTTACCATATAGGCTTTAAAAAAACTATTTCTACTACCATGCATAACTCCAGTTACTCTGAAGGATATAAAATACATCTAAATTCCTGAGTTTTTAAAATAGCATTTGTTCAATTGGATAGAGCACAGAGTTAATGAGGCTGCAGTGGTAGGTCAGGTTCCTAGTCCACTTGAAGAGGTTTAGAGGTTTTGGGGTGCTCCTATGTGCACAGAGGCACCCCAAGATCACGGCGCCAAGCCCTGCCTGAAAGAATTCAACCCAAATCTTCTTCCAGCCAGAGAAATAGTTTATTAGAGATAAAGCATATAGGCCAGACTCCCAAGGAACCCAAACATCAGTAACACCCATAGGGACGAGTGGGCATGAGAGTCTCAGCCTTTTGGGCATGAGAAATTCTCAGCGTCTGAATGCAGGCTAGAGTGGATCTTTTATACACTAAAGTAACCTTGGGTGGCCAGAGGAAGGGGGGAAGGTGGTTAGGGAAAAAAGGTCTAGGTGAGAATTCTGTTTGGAAGGTCTGAGAGATTTGAATAAACAATGAGAATAGATAATGAAGGGAGCTGAAAGGTAGAAGTTTGCTTTCAAAGGGAGATAAAGAGAGTAGATAAAGAACCTAAAAGTTTAAGGGTTTTCTGGGACCTGTAGACAAACTTCTTTTTAGGGCTAGGGGCAAAGGTGCATCTGAATAAGATCAAAAGGCAAGGCTAAGGCTTTGAAAGAGAGATAAGGTGAGTCTATAAGGAATCTAAAAGTTTAAGGGTCTTCTGGGGAAGAGAGATAAGGTGAGTCTATAAGTAGTCTAAAAGTTTAAGGGTCTTCTGGGGTCTGTAAACAAAGGAGCCAAATTCCTTTTGTCCAAAAGGGGCAAAGGTCTCGGCTTCTGAAACTGAATGATACTCCCTCAAACAAATGGAACCCAAATTCTTTTGATGTAAGGGGCAAAGATCTCAGCCTCTGAAACTGCTTCCTGCTGGCAAGGGGCGTAGAGCTGTCCCTGCCTCTCTAGGTCCCACTTGAGGAGTGAAATTTCAAAACCCGGCTGATGCCAGGTTCAGCGGGCTAGAGTCCTCAGTTTGAGGACTAAGCAGTCATCTGGAAGTTGATGGCTCTGACCCTAGAAGAAAGGAACCTCGCAAGAATATTTAGTAACAAACACAAAAGAAATATAATCAGTAGGGGAATAAGAATAGGGGCCAAAATAGAAAGAAACCAGGACTCCCATGAAAAAGATGATTTTGGAGCACTGAGGTTATTGTGAATTTCTTGCATCTAACTAGCTTTTTCCAAAATATGAGCAGTGCAGAACTCTACCTGCCCAGACTTGTTGTTACACATGCATACACAAAATGTGTATGCTAAAGCACATACACCCCCACTGGAGGCAAGCAAGTAGTTTAGGGCTATTCTATTATCTAGAACTACTTTTGCTAAGGAATCTAAAGATTGCTGGATTTCCCAGAGACCATAAGCTGTCACATTTGCCAACTGATGAATAGCCTCTGTAAGGTTAGAGAGAATATGTTCATGTTGTAGGTTATACCAGGGCATAAGACAATCTGCTCCCTTTTAAGAGACCAAAGGACATTTCCCCAAAATCCATGTTTTGCCCTTAAGTTAGAGACTGTGGGCTGTGTGGCATTGAAAATGGAGAAAGCACACCCCAAAGTCTTTGTAGGGTGTCAAACACTGAGTGACCAAGACAGTGGTTCTGGGGTCTTGCCATGTGTTGGCACTTCGTTTCACCTTTTTCCCAAAATTCTTGTTACTAGTAGTATCTGCACAGGTAGTACAGGTCAAAAGATCAGTAGAAACTCTTACAATCCCTCCCTCCACAGGGGCGTTAACTTGTCTAGTGGCCTTGCAGCTTGTCTCGCAAGTAAGGGAATATTCCCCTGCAGAGAAGCAAGGTGTTGATATAGAGGGAGTAGCCCATAACGAAGTAGCAAGCATAAATGGAGTAGCTCAAACTTTTGAGAAAGTCGTATTGGGGAGGGGGGCTTTGTGGATATGAGAGTTGCTGTGTGGGTGTGGGTGGTCTAACTGGTTTCTCAGTTTGACAAGGGGTTTATCTTCCCATTTTCAGAGGCCAAGTGTAAATTTAGAGGCTTCCTCAATCAGAATGACTGTAGCAGCCACAACCCGAAGGCTTACAGGCCATCCAGCAGCTACAGAGTATAATTGTTTTGAAAAGCAAGCAATCTGGCTAGGGTCAGGTCCTAAGAACTGGGTTAGGGGCGTGGTGGTCAATTTAGATTTTAAAATCACAAAAGCTTTAGCCTGGTCTGGGCCCCACTCTTGAGGGAGTGAGTCTGGGCCCAGAGGAGCATCACAAAAGGGCTTAACAACAAAACTGTTACTAGATATCCGGAGTCTACAAAATCTAGCCATGCCTAGAAAAGTTCGAAATTGTTTCTTAGTGTCTGGGACAGGGAGTTCGTGTCCCAGAAACTTTACAGACTGGCATGCTATCTGGATTTTGTTCAAAGAGACCCTATAGCCTTGAGTTCTCAAGAAATTAAGCACTCCTGAGGCAGTGGACAAAGAAACCTCCTGGGTGGGGCTACAAATACAGTGATGGGAAAAAACTTTAGGGTCTCAGGGGTGAACAACGGCGAGGGTGGCAAGAGTAGCTCACCCAGGAGTTCCCTGATCCCAAATTGTCTCCCACACTTCCAGGGGGAACATGGGGAGGTCTGGTACACAGAGGGAAAAGGGAGATGGGAGGCTTAACTAGAGAAAATTGGCTCCCCAACTTCTCCATCAGGTTCCTTCCCAGCAAGGGGGCAGGGCAAGAGGAGAGCATAAGGGAGGAGTATTTAAACAGATTTTCAACTAGGAAGGGGAGGTAGTATGTCTAGAGACATCCCTTAGTTCCCCCTTCATTGCCCACAACCAGATGGGTTAAGGAGCGAACAGGGCCAGAGTAATTGGTTAAAGCAAAGAACATAGCCATGATAAAGTGGGTAACCTTACCTTTAGCCTCGATTTCTGCGCAGGGCTTGATGAGAGAGATAGAGAAAGTGGGAGTGTTGCCCGGACCCAGGCTCCCTTGTCCTCCCCAGTCTTGAGAAGACTGGAGGACAGGGCACTGGGGGGCTGCTCTACCACTTCTCCTACCTCAGGGACAATCCTTCTTCCAATGTCCCTCCTGGTCACATCTTGGGCAAGGCCCTGGAGGTAATCATCTTGGGGGCTTCTTCCAAGAGGGCGCCCTGGAGGGGCACTCCTTGGACCAGTGAACCTTCCTGTGGCCTCCCCTGCCTGAGTTGCTGGGCTTCCTCTGAGGGGGTGCCCTGGAGGGGCACTCCTTAGACCAGTGACCCTCCTGGTGGCATTGAAAGCAGGTTTTCCCACTGCCCGAGTTGCCAGAAGAAACCCCGGGTCCTTTCCTGGCCATGGCAGTGGCCAGAAATTGGGCATGTTCTTTGTCTCTAGCCCGCTCCCTGCGTTCTTTCTCCTTTACTGCAACTAGGTCTCTGTTGTTAAAAGACTCCAAAGGCAGTCTCCAATAACTGGGCCTGAGGTGTTTGGGGTCCCATTGCCAATTTCTGTAGTTTCCTTCTAATATCTGGGGCAGACTGGTTAATGAAATACATGCTAAGGACTGCTGCCCCTTCAGTAGAGTCAGGATCTAAATTTGTATGCTTTTTAATGGCTTCCACCAGCCTATCTTGAAAAAGAGCAGGGTTTTCCTTTTCTCCCTGAGTAATTTCTTTAATTTTCTGAAAATTTACCTGCTTTCAAAAGGCCATTTTCAGGCCTTCTAACAGGCAAATTATCATGTGGTCTCACTTTCCCCTAACCTCACTCTTCTGATAATCCCATCCTGGGTCACTAGAGGGAACCGCAGCTGTTCCTGGGGAGTATCTTGTGGGGTCATTGGTAGTGAAAGTATCCCCAAATTTCTGGGCTTGTTCCCAGATTCTCTTCCTCTCCTCAGTGTTACAACAGGTGGAGAAGAGCACATGCAAATCACCCCAAGAAAGTTCGAATTGTAGGGACACATCCCTGAAGCCCTTGGTAAATTTAGTGGGATCTTCAGAGTACCGACCTAGCTTTTCCTTAATCTGGTTGAGGTCTGAGATAGAGAATGGAACATGCACCCTAAGTGTCCCATCAGGCAAGGCAGGTACTTCCCGTAAGAGCCCTGAAGGTCCTGCAGGAGTAGGGGTATGCGGGGGAGGGAGATAGGAGGTCCCACTTCTCGTGAGTGAGGGACTGGAAAGTGCCGGCTGAACTGGCAAGGCCAAGGAATTCTGCTGGCAAGGGGAAAGATTACCTGACGCTGGAAGAGGGGGAGGGGTCGGGAGGAGACGCCACGGCAAGACCCTTGCCTGGAGCCTGAGCAGGAGTCGCGTTGGAAGTAGAGGTCTGGGGAGGAGGCACCGAGTTGAGAACCTTGTCCGGAACTTGAGCAGGGGTCTCTTCAGAAGTAGAGGCTGGAGTGAGGCCCTTGCTCAAGGCCTGAGTAGGAGCCGCCTCTAGAGCAGGGGCCTGCGGAGGAAATGGAGGAGCCAGAGGAAAAGGGAAGGAAAACCAAGGGAAAGAGGAAATGGGCAAGGAGGAGGGGGCATGGGAAACAAGGGGGGGCAGGGGAGAATAGGGAAATGTAGGAGGAGTCAAGGGAGAACGGGGAGCAGAAGGAAGGGTTTGGGGAGAATGGGGAGCAGAAGGAGGGGTCTGGGGGGAATGGGGAACAGCCGGGGAGGCCAAAGGAGAATGGGGTGGAAAAAGGTGCTGGAGAGGTGGTGCTGATGGAGGTTGGGAAGAGGGGGGTTCCGTAGCCCTGGAAGGCATAAGAAGAGGATCATCATTAGTGAGGTGGCTGTAGCTACAAGCATCTTACAATCCTTTCTGAGAATGGAGTCTCTAGAAAGGCCAACAAAAGCCATTAAGTATGAAATCTCCACCCATTTTCTTTCTCTGCGACAATATTTTTCTAACTCTGAGAGAGTCCTTACCCGTAACGTCCCAAAAAGGGGCCATGCCTCATAATTTTCGAGGTGATACTGAGGCCAAACGGTGTTGCAAAAATGTACCAGTTTTTTTCTTTTTAAGTCCTTTAGAGAGGCTAAAATTTTTCCAATTTGGTAAAAGACAGCCCAAAGGCAAATTCTTAGGAATTGAAGAGGATTGACCCATTGTGGGCTGAGGGAAAAAGAAAAAGAAAAAGGAAAAAAAAAATCCAACAGTTTCTCAATTCCCTAGCGCTGAGAGAACTGAGAGGATTGGACCTATGCTTCCTGATAGGGAGTTCATCCTCTATGCTAAGGAAGGTATACCCAGGTCGAAGTGCTCAAACAGAAACACTGGACCCAAAGCCTGAGAGCGTCAGGTGGAGTTAGAGACAGCCTCATAGCTGTCTGACCTAGCAGGACCTGAGAGGTCAGGCCCGAAAACACTTCCAAGCCAAGCCTAGCTAGTTGCTTGGAAATCCCCCTCTCAGCCACAAGACAACAAAGGAGTTGGGGAGAGGGAGGCTTATGTACCTTCCAGTCGTGGCTGGAGAAGAGTTTGAGATTGGCAGTTTTCCTGGTCCAGGGAACCATATGAAGAGGTCTAGAGGTTTTGGGGTGCTCCTACGTGCAGAGGAACCCCAAGATTGTGGCGCCGAGCCCTGCCTAAAAGAATTCAACCCAAATCTTCTTCCAGCCAGAGAAAAAGTTTATGAAAGATAAATCATATAGGCCAGGTGATGCCCGTAAGGATGAGCAGGCATGAGAGTCTCAGCCTTTTGGGCATGAGAAATGCTCAGCATCCTAATAGAGACAAGATGGACCTTATATACAGAAAGACTGTGGGAGGGATCTAGGAGTAGCCAAGTAGTTTGGGGTGACAGGAGAAAGGGCCTAAGGAGATCTGGATGGGAGTGGCTAGTAAGCTGGGGTGAACAGAACTCCTGGGGACCTGGACTTCCTGGAGCCTAGCTAGGATTAAGGGTGAGAAATGGCCAGGGGCCATAGGGAGGTAAAACAATGGAGGGGAAAATTGGATGTTGCCACAATGAAAGGCCAGTTGATGGGACTATAGCCTCAGGGGAATGCCAGAGATTTGGCCAAGTGGGTAAGTCCAGGGTTTTTACTTTCTGCGGCCCAGATTCCAACCCCATCATTCCCATCTTATATACACTAAAGTAACTTTGCGTGGCCAGAGGAAGGTGGGGGGGTGTTTGGGAAATGGGTCTAGGTGAGAATTCCGTTTGGAAGGTCTGAGAAATTAAACAGACAATGGGAATAGATAATGAAGGGAACTGGAAGGTAGAAGTTTGCTTTCAAAGGGAGATAAAGAGAACTTTCAAAGGGAAATAAAGGCAGTTTATAAGGAATCTAAAAGTTTTTAAGGTTTTTCTGGGAATCCTAGACAAACTGGGAGCCAGATTCTTTTTAGGGCTAGGGGCAAAGGTGCGTTTGAATAAGATTAAAAGGTAAACCTAAAAGTTTAAGGATTTTCTAGACAAATGGGAGCCAGATTCTTTTTAGGGCTAGGGGCAAAGGTGCATCTGAATAAGATCCAAAGGTCTCGGCTTCTGAAACTGAATGATGGGCCCTATAACCCCGTCACACTTAGCTTCACAGTGAAAAATAATTGTATTCTACCCCTGCTGATTCTACCCCAATGCCAGCCAGGAATTAAAAAATGTTTCTAGCACTTTGGTCCCAGCTCCAGTCAGCAGGTAGAATATGCGTACATATCTCTGATTTTCTTCTAAATTAAGATCAGCATCTAGGGCCCTGGGGCCATCCACACTCCACAGGCCGCATAAAAATGTGAGGAGAACAAATAGCCTAAGCCAGAGTGTAAGAACAATAATCTTCAAAACACATAATCTGATCAGTGTTCACCAGCTCTCTTGGCCGGTGTCAGTACTGTTAACTTTCTGACCTCCTAGATGCTATCTTCCTAGACCCTTGGTACTTGTCTAGACATGTATATAGTTCCAACCTTACTGGGTTTCCTTGAACTGGTCCAGAACAAATATGTTAGAATATGTTTGAAAACATGCAACCCTCTGCCTATATTATCATCACTGGACACAAACACCTAGAGACAGAGTAACACATACCTACCAGTCTCTCTCTCTACATATATCACAGGACCATATAATTATTTAGTCAAAAGATCTCAAGCTAAAAGACACCTCAGAGACTATCTAATCTGACATCCTCACTTTACAGATGAAGAAACTGAGGTCAAGTAACTCACCCAAATCATGCAGATAGTAAGCCTCAGGTGTAGAGAAACTGCTTAACGGTACTTAAAACTAAAGCAGACAATATCCTCCTAGGATTAGCAGTCAGGTACACACCTCCCCATCCACCCCCAATGAATGCAGTATTGATATACCCACCTGGTCACATCCAATTCTGAGCTGTTGTTTTGGTCTGACTTTTCTTTGTATCACCAACTACTATTGCATACCTTACTTATTCCCCCCCTAATTATCCTAACACGGGAGAGCAAGGTCTCAGTTTTGTCCTAAGAATTCACAGTACCAGCATACCCCTCTTTCCACATACGTGGTGACCTCCTGTTATCTTCAGTACCGTACCAGCCTAACAAGGCTTCTTGTGCTGATCTGCCTTGTCCCAGGGCTGTACATAACCCAGCGTTGATATTTTGTCTACCTAAATCTGTGGGATCCACATCCTATGTCACTGCCTAAGAATACATGGAAGTAATAAAGAGAGGACTGGACTCAGAAAGAGGAGGGCCACACTTTATTCTTATTGCTAGGAGACTTTATCTAATGTATATGTCCTTTTTTTTCCCCTAATTTGAGACCTGAAGTCTAGAAAACTCTTTCAGAAAGGCATTAGCCATTAATTCAGCAATCTAAGAGAACAACAGTAGGTATTTGGCCTACCACCAGATGGTAGGAAGTTAAAAGTTAGCAGCCATACAGAGTTAACACAAATAGGTAAGACAAAGAGCTATTCCTCAATGGGTAAGTGGTCAACTGATATGAACAAATAGTTCTCAAAAGAATTGCAAACTATTAACAACCATATGAAAGACTACTCCAAATAACTAATAATAAGGAAATGCTATAAAAAAAAAAACATTCTAAGCAGGGGGGAAACCTGTGGCCTCTATGCCGTTGGGTGTGGTCTTTTGACTGAGGCCAAATTTCACAGAACAAATCCTTTTATTTAGGGGATTTGTCTGTGAAGTTTGGATTCAGCCAAAGGGCTACCCTTGAGGACTTAGAGGGCCACATGTGGCCTCAAGGCCACTGGTTCCCCACCCCTGCAAGGATTCATCTCACAAGCAGAAAATTAACAGAGATGAGAAAAAATGGGGAAAGTAAATGTTGGAGGGGTTGTTTGGAAGACAGGCACATTAACACATTGTAGATCAATTTAATTTACATCAAGAAAGTGACAAAAAGACCTTGAACTCTTTGATCTAGAGATTCTACTACTACATATACCCCAAGGAGGTCAAAGATAGAAAAATACTATATAACATCAAAATATCTAAAGTAGCACTTTTATAGTAGGAAAGAATCTGACATCAGGTAAAATGGAAATTACTAAACAAACTTAGGTACATGAAAACAATGTAATATTATTACCCTATAAGGAGTCAGGAACATGAAGAATGCATGGAATAATGGGAAGACTTCTATGAACTGATGCAAAGTGAAGACAGAACCAGGAAAACATAATACACTACATAGTGACTACAACAAAGTAAACGGAAAGAACCAAAAACAACAACAAAAAAAAAAACTTGAAGCTGAATGATACATAATTATAATGACCAAGCATGACCCCAAAGAAGAGTGAAGGGGGTATGATGAAGTCCTGAAGCAAGGTGAGAAAAGATGAGATGACTGTTCTGAATGCCTTCCTTAAATGGAAGGTCTAGGAGGAGCTCTACTCTGATACCCACTCTCTACTCCCTCCAATCAGAGAGAAGTAAGGGGCCCAGGGGCAAAGGGTACTGAGAAGGTGCGAGTTTGAGTTGACTTGCTCTTGCAGGAAGATGAGTTTCTGGAGCAAGAGATGAATGAAATCCAGGAGAGCAACCAGGTGGGAAATTATGAGATGGTTGCCCTGCACCACCTCATTAAGTGGATGCTCTATATCTAGCTCTCAATATAGATATACGTATAGAAATAAAGACAAATCTATATAGGTGTCTACTATATTTTATAGAGTTGTCTACTATATATGGTTACTTATCTACTATATATAGACTCATATATGTATATATACATGTACACACATGTATATATGTGTGTATTATCTCCACAATTATGAAAAGAGGTGTTAAGTTTAAGATTAAGACTATGAGCCAGATACTGAACTCCTTAAAAAAGTGGGGAGAATAACCTGAACACTGGTAGATGACAGCAATAAGGAGTTGGACAAGACAATAAAGATGAATTATGTTAAAGTCAAAGAAAGAAAGATTGCCAAATAACAGTATCAGGGGAGTCACTAGTAGTAGTAGTAAGAATTG